GATAGTGGGGATGCTGGCCACGGTCATGATTATGGACATGGTTACGGACATGGTCATGATCACGGTCACGGTCATGGTCATTCTAGTGGCTTTTCAATCAAACAAGAACATGGTGTTGCGGTTCATCATCATGGAGGACATGATTTCGGTGGACACGGTGGACATTAGATGATTTATCTATACCAATTTATGATGGATTTTTATTGCTGTTATGTAGAGAATATTTTATTTTAGTCGAAATTGAAATGATTGTTGAAAATTGATCTTATGTTATTAAAGTTACTTAAGAGTTAACAAAAACGGAAAATGTCTTGTTTTGAAAATATTTTTAGAATGCAAATTGATTGTCTCGAAAAGATCGTGATCTGGTATTAGTTGTTGACAACAACGACCAACTTCTTTCCCAAGTCACTTATACCAATATAATGATTTCTGTTATTGCATTTGACTTTCTAAAATATACATCGGTCAGTAAGATAACTTTATTTAATTCAAAATGACAAGTTAATATGGACTTACTTAGTTTCTTTGTTTAATTTCTTGTGCGGGGTGGTTATATTAAAATGAACCTAATTTACTCTAATAAAATAAGTGTATAGATACTATGTGGAATATAAACAGAAACAAAGCGACGAAATTTGTAATTCTGGTTAATTATGGGTTGGTATTTAGACCGAGTTCATTTATATTCGACCACTGATTAGGAAACAACATTAAATTCCTTTAGAAATCGCACATTTTTATCTGAATAACTGTTTAATTAAAGTTTGAATTCACAATACTAGTTTTATGGGGGCTAGAGATAGTACAGACCAGAGTTTATTTATTCTTATTAATAAAAAAAATTTAATTTAAAAATAATTTTAATATCTAGCTTGTGCAATATACATGTAGCGTATAAGGTGTTATGGAATTTTGTAAACTTTCATATTTCTTCCGACTATAGCTATTTCATGGAAAGACGAGCTCCGAATTTCATTAATATAACTTTACAGTCCGTCATTTTTACATAAAAAATTGCATACCTAGAAAGCACTATTTGTGGAAAGTATTGTTCATATGTCTTCCTTCGAATGGGAATAATAAGGGTTGTAGGCCATTTTCATAAACATCTTGAGTGTTATGCTTCAATTGATATTATTCGAGTGGTTCATTCGATACTAAATTTCACCTAAAAGTGGGCAGTGTTCAATTTTTATACTGTGTCTTATTCAGTCTATCTGTACCACCTCGGATGTAATACATATAATGGTGATATCATAAGAAGAAGCTAAAAAGGTTTATTGCCATCATGTTTGGTCTCTTAATACCGAATGTTTTATGAAACACGAGGTGTGTTCCAAAGTAAACATGACTTAAAAAAAAATTAAAGAAATGGCTAAATCAAGTTGTTTTATTCAAAATAGTCTCCTTTTGCTTCAATACAGCTTTTTGCACGATCCAAAAGCCTGTCGGACGAGTGTTTAGCGCCTTGGCCGGTATGGCCGCCAGTATGCCGGCGCAAGCCTTTTGAATGGCCTCTTCGTCTGCATAATGCTTTCCTTTTATGGACAAATGCATTTTTCCGAAAAAAGAGAAGTTCCAAAAGTATAAAATGTTCGGTTGCACCCGAACTTATCATTTTCTTACGATTTTTTGTAGAATACGTAATATAAAAACACTTCCCTTCAATTCCAAACATGTAGCAAATTGAATTGATCAGGAGTGGATTCTACAGATATTGAGAACATCAAAATTACAACACCAAAACTAAAAGTTTTGAAGAAATTTAGATTTTCGGCATTTTGAGATTTTTATCGAATTTAGCTCAAAAGTATAGGATCATGTAATGGTGGCATCTCTCAATTGAAGAGACGATAAAGTAGAGATATTCGCAGACTGTTTAAAGAACCATATTTTCAGACGTGAGTAGCCACCAGTTTATTGTAATTGCTTTGAAAAAAGAAAAATTCGATATAACAAATAGTCAAAATTAAAATTAAGAATGTAAAAATAGTCAAACCAAGTAGACATAGAAAATGTATGGCAATTGTTAGTTCGACAATTAAATACATTAGATTTAAAGCCGTTACTTTATTTATAACACAATTACCAAATAATAACAAGGTCGGCGGTCTGCAATGCGTTCGTAAGGCAATTAGAAAATATATGCCGAACTGAACGAAAGATAGTGTAAAAGAAAATGCTTGGAACTCAAATTTGGTATAAAAGGGTAGATTAACAGCATACTAAGCACAGTTCCACCAGATCCAACACAGCTGCTAATTTCAATAGAAACAATGGGCTCTAAGGTGAGTTCTTACACATATGTATACTAGTATGGAAATTCTCAAATTCTCTATTTTTCGGTAGATATTCGCTCCACTCGTATATTGCTTCGTATTGGTGGTGGTCAGTGCCTCGCCGTACGGCCATCATGGACATGATCATGGAGGTCACAGTGCTTCCAGTCACGCTTCAGTGCATTTAGTTTCACACGACGATCATCATGGTGACGAACACGGACACGGACATGGACACGATGATGGACATGACTCACATGCTGAGTATCACTTTAGTTACGGCGT